GCTCGCGGAGGCTCCCACGAGTCTCTCCCTGGGGCTCCGCGTGTCCCTCCCGCAGCGTGGGGCGCATTTGTCAGCACGGCTGCAGGGGAGCCTTGCTGCGGCTCAGTGCTGTCCCCGCTGCCTGGTGAGATTTACAGCCCAGCCGGGCTTTATTACGCAGAAGATGCTTACGCTGGGGATTTTTTCCCCCATAGTTTCTTAATTTGCTATCCCATAAAGAATGTGGATTTGTGACGTTAAATAGGGGAAGATCATTTACCACTCACGGCTCTTACTTAAAGGATCCGCGCGAGGTATTTATCATGCACACACAGGCTGCAAGCAGCAGCACAAGGGGACACTTCTCAGCCCCGCTCCGGGTCCGGGAAGCGGGCTTCCCGCAGCCGTTCCACAGCTTTGCCATCCTAAGGCATCCCAACACGCAGCCTGTGGGTGAAGTACTCCTTGAACAGCTGTGGGAGGCAGAAGGGGAAACTCTCCTCTTTTCTTGCCCTGGGGACATGAGCTCTGCTCCCAGGGCTGCTTGGATGTCCTGGATGTCCTGCAACCCCCAGCTGTTTGCTCCACCAGGACGCGCCGCAGTCTGGGACGTACTGTGACCTGCTTACCGTGGTGGGGGAACAAGAACTCCTGAACCCACACATCACGCAGGGACTCACTGCCATGCAACTTGCACCATGTTTTACTCAATCTCAGGAGGAGGCGCAGGGGACCAAGCTGGTTGGGGTGAACTGCAATCAGAAGCTCCTGCTGTAAGCGCCGTGTTGCCTCAACAGGTACATTTGCCACCCAGCAAGGCCTTTGGGACGTGATGTGGTGGAGAGGGATCCCAGGAGAGAGTCTCGCTTCCCTCTGGCCATGCTTTCCCCATCCTTCTCCCAGCTCATGCTCTGCGGGTGCTCCTGCACCAAGATTCCCACTTTGCTCCAGGTGCTGCCCGAAAACAGGCAGCCAGGGATGCCCCTTTCTGCCTGATGGCTGCTGATGCCACAGCGGCTCCCGGCAGGATCCCTGCTGCCCCCAAGGCTCAGGGGGCCGAGCAGGGACACGATGGCAGGAGGCTGCAGGACCCACCATGCTCCCTGTGCTCGGGCCAGGCTGAGGAGCAGCCAGCACGCGCCACCCATGTGCCCAAGCCTGCACCCTGCTCCCCCCGTGCCTCTGCCTCCCCTCCGTGCTGGCTCCCTGCCCACCCTGCGCAGGATCCCCTTGGCCACACTCCCTCCTCCCGGCCCCGGAGCAGCAGCAGAGGCTGCTGGGGCTGCACATCCATCACTGAGATGCGGGGGCCCAGTCACAGTCCGGGCAGCCGCCCCGCAGACACACAGCGCCTGGCACGCCACACACAAGGTCCTTGCTCCGAGAAGCTCGTACCCATCTGGTCAAGTTTCAGGACCGAATAGTATTTAGCTGATCCAGGAGGACTGAGTATTATTGTCCGCCGTGCCTGCAAGCATGCACAGACCTGAGCCCTGCAGAGCTGCTCAGTGGGACCCTCCATGGGAGCCCGGCACAGCTGAGACTGAGGGCAGCCCCACATGCCATGTGCAGGAGGGACCAGCTCCAGAGCTCCCTGCTCTGGGCCCTGCCCTCATCCCGTCAGATTGCACTTCTCTCCCGCAGACGACACAGGCAGCTCACCTACAGCAGACGGGGGCTCAATAAAACCCCAGGATGAGTGGGGCAGCACCCCTGCTGTGCTTCCTCACCCCACTGCAGACGAGCGCTGCACACACCAAGCCTCACACAGAGCAGCTCCCCGCAAAACCACCCCAAGCAGAGCTTTCCCCAGGGAAGCAGCACTGCATCGAGGGAAACAGGACATGCTGCACCAGCCATTTCCTGCCCCATGGAACCTCCTCGTCCTCCTCCCCCAGGAAGTGCCCAGGCAGTGGCATCCCCCTCCCCGGCGCGGCGCGGGCGCCAGCTCCGCTCCGGCTCGCAGCGCTGCTCCTGCGAGCGCAGCCAGCAAGCAGAGCAGTAGCCCCTGGCAGCCGCAGGAGAGAGGCGGCTCATTTCCAGAGTCATTACGGTCTGAAAAGGGTCCCATCAGGTATTCCGCCCGTTCAGCACATTTATTTTCCCAAACCACAGCGGGGATTTGTGATTTCAGGCTCAGTATTGGAGAGCGCTGCACACGCGCAGCACCCGGCCGGTTGCCCGGCTGGCTGAGCAGGCGCGGGTGCTGCTAGAGGGAGGTCCCCGCTCACGCGCCCCGGGCGGCAAATGGGCCAGCCCGGAGCAGCCACACGCCACCCGGACAAAGCAGTGTCCCCGTGCAGACCCGCTTGGGATGCTCAATGTGTGCATCTGTGCACATGTGTGTGCGCAAGGCTGGCAGCCTCCCGGATACACATGCACCCCACTGCCACTCCAAAAAAGCAGGGGGCTCCTCCATGTGCAAAGGGGTCTATGTCCCACCCAGTCCACTCCTGCCATGAAAAACACCCCGCTATAGAGCAGCTTGACCCGCAGGGAAGAAGCTGGCTGGAGCAAGGCTGTACAGTGCGGCTTTCCCCCTTCCCACTGCACACCCACCCCAGGGACCTCCGAGCCCCGCTCATGCAGCACCTCAGCCCCTGCCTGTAATCCCCTCCGTGGAGGAGCTGTGGGCAGTCTGGTCCTGCAGCACAGAGACCTACAGAGAGCTCCCACGGAGAGCTCTCACTCTCTCCCTGCAAAACTTGGAGGGAAACTCAAACACAGAGAGATGCAAACTTCAGGAGCAGGACCGCGCTAGGAAGCCCTTCTTGGGCAAGGCACAGCCAAGTCAGTGCCCCCAGAGCCGGCAGCGGCCCTGGGGGAAGCGGGCTGAGCCAGGTGTGCACTCACCACAGCAAAGTCGCGGGAGGAGCAGTTCTCACCACTGAAGTTGCAGCTCTTGAGCATGTCGTCAAGCTGGTGGCCAGTGCGGTTGACGATGTCAGCCATGTCGGGGTCAGGATAGAGTAGGTCTGTGGCTTTGTGGCCATCCCGATCCTTTGGGGGCAGCCCGGTCATGTTGGCCAAGTGGAAGATGTCAGCGTCGGTGAGTGCCGAGTGCCGATAGCGGTTGATGTTGCAGATGGTGATGGCGGGGAAGACCATCTCACGAATGGCCTCCTCGTCCAAGGCCATGACATGGGGGTGCTCCAGGTAGAGCAGCGCCGACTTGGCCGCCTGGTAGAGGAAGAAGGCGAGCGAGACCAGGAAGGCAAATGCCCAGAGGGTCTGGCGCACGCCCAGCCGCCCTGACCGGCAGATGTGTCCGAGGCCATGCAAGGTGCTGGCGCTGGCGAAGGCGGCCAGGTCCCGGGACCGGGGCCGCGCCGGCTCCTCAATCAGGCTCTCCTTATCCCCTTCTTCTTTCTCCTTTTGCTTCTCATCCTCCTCAGCAAATTTGATTTTACACACGATCTCAATCGGCATCTGCCCAGTGTGGCTGGCGTGCCCGGCCAGCGAGCTGCCCCCAGGCACGGGCACCGACCGAGACCCCGGCCAGGCACTGGGAGGGGGCTCGGGTCCCCCCCAAGCCCCAGCGCGGCGCCGGGAGGGCCGAGCCGTCTCGGGAGGGAAGCACGGCCCCTCTCAGCAGCTCCGAGCCGCCGCTTCCCTCTTGTCTCACTAGTCGATCGTCTCCTTGTGCCTTCGCTTATCAGCACAAATACAGCTGTCAAAAACCCCTCTCTCTCCTCTCTCGCGCTCTGTCTCTCTGCCTCTCTCCTTCGCTCCTTGCTGGTTAAGACCCCAGCAGATACAGGCAGCATTTAGGCATCATGTGCTAATAAAATCCAGGGAATACTTAATAATTCAAGACATGTCAACATTATTTCATCGTCAAATAAAGAGCGAGCGCTGGAGAAAGAGTCAGTGTGAAGGGCCCGGCGCCTCCGGGGCAGGGAGCCGCGCTGCGCCCTCTCGCCAGCCCCGGCTCCGAAGTGCTGCTGGAGCCACTTGTTTGAATGGCTCGGGGGGTCCCCGGGCCGGCCCGCGCCGGGGCG